GGTGACAGTCTCTTTTCCCCGCTCCCGCCTCCCAAGGGTCGCAAGGCAAGAAAAATGTACAGCTGCTGCATTGGCCGGGAATCGAACCCGGGCCTCCCGCGTGGCAGGCGAGAATTCTACCACTGAACCACCAATGCCAGATGTGTGACAGTTCCCGGTGCTGCCCCACGGCCCCAAACCCCACTCCCAACCTCTGTCCTGCCCCCTGTCCCTGCCAACCCTCCCAAAGGACCCGCCTGCAGTGGGGTGTCCGTGTGCCCCCCTCTGGGCTCGTGGCTGTGGGTGCATCTCTTCCCAGCACACGCGTGTGTGTGACGTGGGGCTGGGCTGGGCTGGGGGGCCGCGGGGGATCCTCACCTGCCGGTACTTGCTGTACTCCTCACCCAGGGCGTCAAAGAGCTGGCACAGCTCCTGGGTGTACTTCCAGGATGGGTGCTTCTCTGGCAGCACCTCCCGGATCCGCAGCACTGCCTGGGAGCTGACGTGGAACCAGAGGTACCGCAGCGCTGTCTCCGACACTGTCCCATTGCGCTAAAGGGCGAGAGGGTGTCCCAGGTGAGACTCACACAGTCTTCGTGGGTCCTTGCAGCGCCCCCACCACCGGGCTGTCCCCTGCCATCGTCTTACCAGGCGGGTGATGTTGGAGGGCCTCAGCACCTCTTCGTACTGGACCTGGACTGTGTAGTCGATGGGAAAGTAGTGTTTCTGGAAAGATGGAGCAGAGCATGGAGGCAGGCAGGGGGCAAAGTGCCAGGGGGACATCCCTGCCAGCCTCGGCATGACAATGAGGTGCTCGTGGAAAAGCTTTTTGAGGAGGTCAGCCCCCAGCAGAAGCAGCTCTGTGCATCGTTTGGCACAAGTTGCCCCCGGTTAAAAAAACCCACACCCCAGCATCTGGCCACTGTAGAGCACCGGGTGCTGCCCTCCCACGTCCCCCCTGGAGCAATCCGGGGGCCTGAAATGCCATGTGTGCCCCCCACCCCCCAAACCTGGGCTTACCATGTACTGCAGGCGCATCTCGTACCGCAGCTTGTCCTGGAGCAGGCGGGTGAGCTCGCATTCGCCCGGCGCGGTGGCCTCCAGCCCCAGCACAGCCAGGACACCTGGGCAGCCAAAGCCAGCGGTGTCAGCCCCCTCGGGGACACCCCCTGAGGTGACCCCGAGGCCAGCCCCCCTGTCCCCGAGCTCTACTCACACAGGACGGCCGCGTAGCCCTGCTGCATGTTGACAGTGGCCATCGGCGGAGCCCCAGGCTGCGCCTACATGGTTGGGGCTCACCGGGAGCCTCCTGGGCAGCGGCGTGGACGGTGGGGGGAGGAGGGACGGGCGCAGGTTCCGGGCACTGGGCTGCTCTCCGGTAGCCCCGGGCGGTTGCCCCCTGCCATGGATGGGGGATTAGTCCCCCTTCTCGGCAGTCCCCGCTGGCTTCTCCTCTCCAGCTGGTGGCAGGGAGGCAGCAGGTCCCGGGGCCATCACAGGGTGCCAGGAGGGATGTGCTGCCAGGGGTGCAGGACCCTCCCTGGACTGCGAGAGGGGATCTGAGGGAAGAGAGCCCTGGCTGCAGCCCCAGGGCAGGCGGGTGCCCGGGCTGCAGCCCCCAGGGAGGGGAAGGGACAGCCCCGTGTGAGTCTAGGGGGTCCAAGGACTGTGGGTGGCCCTGGAGCCGTGGGTGACTGTGGCCGTTTGAGGCAGGGCTACCACGACTTACCTGGTGACGCCCCCAGGGGATTTCCAGGGGAAGGGGTGGCCCAGCCCAGCCCCATGATCCCAGCAGTGAGTTAGTCTGGCCTCAGCCAAGGACCGCTGGGGGGACAGGTCTGGTGAAGTGGCCAGGCCACCCATGCTGGGTCCCCACACAGAGAGGGGACCTGCCATGTCCCCACACCCCTGCAAAGGGGATTGTGCCATGTCCCCGTGCTGTCACCCCAGGGGAAGGAGCCCTGGATGTCCCTCTGCCGCATCCTCCACAGCGTGTCCCCTTGTGGAGGGGGGTGTTGAGCCCCGCACGGTCCATGCCATGTCCCAGCAAAGAAGGGGCCCCATCTGTGTCCCCACACCATGTCCCGCTGCCAGCAGAGGAGAGGGGGGGGGTGTCACGCCGTGTCCCCACCCCACGCCCTGTCCCAGAAGAAAGAACCCGTGCCATGACCCGTGCCGTGTCCCCCCCGTGCGAAGGCGCCACGCAGTGTCCCCACGCGAAGTGGGGGGCGGGTGGCATCCCACGTCCCCAGCGAAGGGATCTGTGCGCCGCGTCCCCGCGCGCGGGCTGTGTGTGCGTGTGCGTCCCGCGCCGCGTCCCCGCGCGGGGCCGTGGGTACCCCGTGTGTGCCCCGCCGCCCCCCGCGCCCCTCCCCGCGCGAGGCCCCGCGGACCCACCTGGCGCGGCGCGCGTGGCCGCGGGCGCGGGACGCGTCAACCCGCGGGCGGCGGCGGCGGCGGGGCCGTGCCCGCGCTTCCCGGGAGGCGGGCGGGGGGCGGCGGCGCGGGGAGCGGGCGGGGCGGCGGCCGGGGCCGGGCGGGGAGCGGGGACCGAGCGACCGCCCCGCACGGCCCCGGCAGCGCTCGGCCCTGCCCCGCCGCGGGTGCTCGCTTGGCCGCCACAGCCCGGTGGGTGTCCCCGGGCCGTGCGGCGAGACCGGGAGGTGGTCCCCAGGGTAGGTAGGTAGGTAGGTAGGTAGCCCGGCTGGGTGTCCCCAGGGGGTTTGACTCACCCTGCTCCTCGCGGTTCTTGGCTGCTCCAGACAGGTGTCCCCAGGGTGCTCAGCAAGCCCAGGCTGGGTGTTCCAGGATGCTCTCAGCTCACCCAACCGGCTGTGCCCAGGGTGCTCAGCTCACCCAGCCGGGTGTCCCCAGGGTGCTAGTTCCCTTCTTGCTCCTTGGGGTGCCTTGCTGCCCCAGCCAGGAGCCCCAGTGTGCTGGTCTAACTCTGGTCTGTGGCCACTCCAGTCCTCAGGATGCCCACGTGGCCCCTGTGGCACTCTGCTCTGCCAACACCGGCACCCTCAGGGCACTGGACGTTCCTGGCCAGGTATCTCAGGGTGCTCACTGGGCTGGACGTGCACAGGGAAATTTTGAGGCACTCAAAGTGGGAGTAATCCCAGTGCTCCCCAGCACGCGCCTGTGCAAGGGCTGCACTGCAGCACAAACCTCAGAGGGGCTGGGGCATTCCTGGCTGTCTCCAGGTCAGCAGGACTCTGCTCCCTCTGGTCCAAGCCCACGATGTCCTCTTAGGATGCTTCAGGGCTGAGCTCCTGCCAGGAGCAGCGGACAAGAGCCACGGGACATTGTCCTCCTGCCTGCCAGCCCCACGAGCCCCCTGGGAGAGCCACTGTGTCTGTGCCGGGAGCTGCTGGGCGCCCCAGGGGTCGACCAGAGAAACCGGCTATCAAAGAGCAGGTCAGTGCTCCCAGGGAAACGCGTGGGAAGGAATGCACTGCTGCCTGTGAGGAGAGAGCGCTGGGATTCCCCTGGCACGGAGTCAGGGCCACTGTCGCGCTCCTGCCAAAGCTTCCCCCGGTCCTGGCCAGTCCCAGGCACAGCCCTTGCCTCCCTCCCAGGGCCGGGCTGGGGGCAAGATGCTCAGCTGCGAGCAGGGAAGGAGTCGGTCCAGCTCCTCACGCAGGTGTCCCACAGGGATTTTGCCCGCAGCTGCTGCAGTCGTTGGAGGAAGCCATTTAATAGCATTCCCTGCCCACGTAGTCATCAGCTTGGCAGGCGGGATGGGGCGAGGAAGAGAAGGGAAAGTCGGAACTGCGCAGCACGGGGGTGGTTGGCCCTCCTTGGCCGCACCAGGCTGGAAAGCACCGCTGGGCCGAGCCCAAGGCAAACAGCTCCCAGTTCACATCCCCGGGAGCTCTGCTCCCACGCAGTAGGACACAGCACCCTGTGGCTGCAGGAAGAGCTCTTGCTGGGAGAAACCCTCCTCACCCCAGCTCGGAGCTCTCCCCAGGAGAATGTGGTCTGGGGGCTCAGCCGGCTCCCCCCAGCCCACCAGCTCCTCTTGACGGGGGCTTGGCCCCTCCCAGGCTTTGCCTTGCACTGGAGGCAGGTTATTCACCGAGCTCAGCCAAGGAAACAAACCCTTGTGCTTGAAACCAGCTTGGGAACAACCCAAGACCGCCCTCCCACACCTTCATTCTTGGGACACCGACAGGCACCCCAAGTCCATGGCAAGCCAGAAGCTGGGGCGCACCAAGCTCAGCTCCCCTTTGCCCCTCCCATGACACAGCCGTGCCCACTGAGGCCAGGGAAGGGAGCACAAAGCCCTTTGCCCCCCCCGGAGAAGGATGGGTGGGGCCCAGGGTGCCATGTCAGAGCCAAAGGGTGCAGCCCCTGCCAACGCAGGCCTGTAAGGACGAGCCAGGGGAGAGGAGGGTGCAAAGGACAGGGTTGGAGGGCACGTTTACCCTCACCCTGCACAGCACACAACATGGAGGCTGTTCAAAGGGAGCACCGGGACAGGGGCCCCCTGCCTCGCCAAGCCCAGGCTGGGAGCAGCATCCTCAATGGGTGCCACAGGATCTCAGCTCTGCAGACAGACCCACTAGCAGGAGAGAGCAGGGGAACAACCCAACAGAACCAGGAAACACCTTCTGTGTGGGTGTACCCTGGCTGGGAGCCTCTGCTCCAGTTTGCCAGGACAAGGACCTTTCCCCAGCCTTCCTGGCAGCCAGCTGCTCCTCTCAAAGCTGCTGCTGCTGCTGCTTCAGTGGGCAACACAGGAGCCCTGAGCTTCAGCCATGCCCTGGAAGGACTGGAGAAACAACTCTTCCCTTCCCTCTTTCCATACCCTGCTTTGTGTGTGCCTCAAGGCAGGGTAACTGCTCTGCCTTCAGGACACGCTGCAGGGCACGGGGCCAGCTCCAGGCAGGGCAGTGAGGGGCTTGCAGGAGTGCAGGGCATGGGGCTGAGGGTGAGCACATTTCTGAACTCCTCCTCCTCCTCCCCTCCCGCTAGGTCAGCAGCAGCTGCTGCGAAGGAGAAGAGCCCCAGCGCCAGGGTAGTGAAAAAACAGGCTTTTATTCTTCATGTGCTGCTCACAGTCACAGCTTGGAGACACTCTCTTGCCAAAGTTATTATGAAACAAATCAAGTCCCAGACTCAGGCCTCGCTCTTCCCCACCCCCAAGAGAGTCAACATTGTACAAAACTCTATTTACAGGGAAAACAGTCAAAAACGGCGAGTCCAAAAAAAACCCCCTGCAATTCAGAAGAAAACGTTCAAATCAAGTGTGACAGCTACACCCTCCACACAGCCAGGCTTCCCATCAGCTGCTCCCTGGGCTGGTGGAAACCCAGAGCACTATTAAGAGCGGCCTGGTAATCCTGAATCATGCCACAGCTCTTTCCTTTCCTAAAACACTGGGAAGTCACAAATCCCACTTGACACCACAAAGACTCAGGCGGATCTGCCCTACAGGACTTTCTGCAAGACACCCAGGGGCTCCCCCATCCTAAAGGGAGGACAAGGAGATGGGGTTGAGGGTCAGTCTGCATCCTGCCTGGGGCACTTCCCAAGAGAGAACTGCTCTGGCTGGAAGCTGGAATGTCAGGAGCCTTCACAAACGCAGCGGGATGTGTTGGGAGACCTAACAGCTGATACTGCATTTACTGAAGTCAGGTTGCTTTGAAACATAAACCAAGAGGACCAAACCAATATTTGAAAAGGGGAAGAAAAGCACACATTCCTCCTCCCAACAGTGCCTGGAAGAGCATCCAGAGGAGCTGTCAGCTGTTCTGCCCCTGCCAGCTGCCCCTCAGAAAGCGTAGCGTGTGCGGATGTCTTCCAGCTTCTTGGATACCTCGGGTGGGGTCCGGTCCAGCTCCTCAGCCACATTCTTCTGTTTGTTTGGCTCCATGGAGTTGAACTGCTCACACAGGTCCCCATCTATCACGTTCTGGAGAGGCAATGAGGAGAGCACTGAATCGACACCACACAGAGGCACTGAACCCTGCCTAAACAGGGAAAAATGGCCACAAACAGTCTGTTCCCAGGAGCTTCTTAATCCTGTCCTGGAAACAAGACCAGGCCTGGTGACCTCATCTGCTGAATAGCAGCAGTTAGCACCACATTAATTACTGGCCAGCCTGAGTAAGAAAAGAGAAACCCAAAAGGCCTGGGTGCAGCTGAAGAATCACACAAGGGAAAGGAAGAGGGATCTGCCTGCGTCTGAGCCCTGCACTGGGAAGGACGGGGGAAGCTGTGAGTGATGATTGAAAGGCACCTTCAGTCAGATGGGGACACATCTTTGAGGCCGTGCACTTCGCAAGTCAACCTCAAGCTCCTCAAGAACAAGAACATCCTCTGCACCTGGACAGCTTCAGCTGCTGGGACAGTGTTCTGACTGACTTTACACACGCTACTCTGGCAGCAGTTACCACACAGTTACATGGGTTCAGTACTCTGGACCCTCCTGGTCATAGCATTTAGCAGTCAACAGCTTCTAATGGTTCCTCAAAAGCAGAAATATGCAGGAATAGCCACTTCTAGGGAGATTTCCCTTTCCAGTGGTGGTAGAAAAAGGGGAGATGCTGCGGTGTAGAGAAATGCAGCAGCACCTCTGGGCTTGAGTCTCAGAACCAGCTCTGAGGAGGCTCATTACAAGAATTAAGAAACCAGAACAGCCACAGTTTCAAGTGCTAAGTGCTGCTCTCCTTACAGAGTGCTGCTCAAGAGCCAGCTTCAATTCCTGCCTCAGGCACTACACGAGCCTTGGCTCATACTGCCCCACTCTTCCCCACTGAGCAGCAATCAGGACTTGCTTCTGTCAGCCTCAAGGCAGCTCTGAGCCCCAGAGCAACTCTCTGCACCCCCAGGACCTAAATGATCCTAAAAGCTCAGGCCTACCTTCACTGGGAAGTAGTAGGAGCGGAAGCTGAGATGGTCTCGGCCACAGAGAGGAGGGTGCTCAGACCGTAAGTGCATTTCCACGTGCTGGAAGAAGTCGTGATCCTGGGGAGATTAAGGACTGATCAGAGAGCACATCAAGTGGCAAAGCAAGACAACACCCATCAGGCAGCTGCTCCTCCACTGGCTTAAAGTTGCCATCACACTCCCAGTTGGGGCTGGACTACACGGTCCTTAAATGTCCCTTCCAACCCAACCCAGCCTGTGGTTGATACCAGGCCCTGCCAGATCAGCCCTGCATATGGCAAACAAGGTCACAGCTACCCCCTCACCACTTCCCCACAGGGAGCACCCACAGCAGAGCTAAGCAATCACCCTGGCCAGGATTTGAGGCACAGAGCAGCTGTGCAGCACAAAGCTGCAGCCCCAAGAGGCAATATTTTAGCATCTGCTGCTCCACGAGGCCACACCAAACAGACAGAGGTGCCTGATCAACAGTCTAAAGGCTACACAAAGCACACCAAGGCCAAAAAACTCCTCCTCAGACACTGAACCACCCAAGAGCTCCTCAGGAGCACAAACAGGTTTAGAACAGCAGTGCAACAAGGAAAGCTCTCAAGTCCTCATGGAACCAGTGCAGGAAGAGGAGTCAGCAAGCTCCTGCTCTTCCCCTCTGCATCACAATCCCATGGGATACAGCACATTTAATACACTGGCTGGGCATGAGCACACAGAAAGGCAGCAACATTGCACCCTGGGCTCACAAACCTCGTGGGAAGTGAAAGGGACCAAGATTCCTATGCCCCCCGACAGGGTGGTGTAGACAAGAGACTCGGAGCCTCCCGGGATCAGCGTGGTCTTCTGCAGGGAAAGCACCGTCTCTCCCACGTGGTAATTCATAATCACTTCAGCCTGAAAGGCAACCACAGGAGCGGGTTTTTTTTTTCTTTAGCTTATACAAAAGCATCAAAAAGGCTTGAGAGAGAAAAGCAGAATAAATTTGGCCACCTGCTAGTTCTGAAATGCCTTTCCAGAGAGGAAGTGCCTTCCACCTGTGACCAGATGGCAGAACTCAGCTGGACAAACGGATGCAAGTAATGAGGGAAAGCAGCATAAGAAAATGAGCTGCTTCCAAACACCACCAGGCTTCAGCTGGGATTTCAGAAACTGAATCTGATTTCCAGTAACAGTGAAAACAAATCACCCACAGCACAGCAGATCGAGTAGGAGCAGAACTGCCAATCCATTTCCTGGTCAACACTGCAGAGGCCTTCACAGAAAAGTGGCGAATTATTTTCCCACAAAACCCGTGTGCTTTCCATGAAGTATTACCTTCTGTGATGCTCCATTAAGAAGCCCTCTGTCCCAGAGAGCTTTGTTGCCTGTGGGATCCTCATCTACCTCATCATTGGTGTTGGGAGGCAATCTCACCTGCGTTGAGAAACAAGAAAACAATCAACAAGCTGCACAGAAGCAGCACATTATCTCTGGAGAATCCTGGTGCTCTCTGAAAGGCTGCTTTTGTGGACTCTGTAAGAATCACTTTCCGTTTACAGCAAAACCACCCAGTTGTCCCTCCAACACAGCCTTTAAATGACAACTGTCTTATCAAGACCGATGGCCCATCACTCAAAACCCTGGGCAGGATCTCACAACTGGCTTCTGCCTGGGCTGGCACTTGCAGATCAGCCTGGGAGGTACAGTCAAACTGATCTGAAGGTGGTTCCCACTGAGGAAACAGTTTGATGGATGTGGGGCAGGAAAACTGAAGAGATTTGTGTGTGTTGGCCAAATCCTGCAGGCGCAGCATCTGACACTTGCTGACCTCTGCACTCCAAAAGCACCCGAGCACGCTTCAGAAAGAGATCAAAGCCCTGCCAGAAAGACCATCTATTCTTTCCTCCTCCCCTGCTGAAATCCAGCCAAGTGGGGAAGTGTCAGCACTGACAGAGCCAACTCTGGAGAGGAAGCTGACAGAGAAAGTTAAATGGCAGCGATGAGGTTTACTCAGAAAGAGTAAGACTGATAACCCTGACTCAAGTTCTCATGGGCCCTTTCACAGTCACAAGCGTCTTTTCAAGATTTATTCACTGCAAGTTTCGAGGCAGTTCCAACACAAAATACTGGACACTTCAGAAACATGTTTATGCTTTGCTAATGCTTCAACTTGTTTGCTTCATTTACCAAACTGATAAACTGCAGCCCACTATGACGACAGCCAGTCACTCCATAAAAACAAGCCAATGGTACAGGGCGTTGCCTGCAGCGAAGGACAGAATCTCATTCTTTTAAGATAAATCATGGATATTCTAAGGAAAAGCACTTCCAAAAAGCCCCGGCTTCACCGAGGCACACTCACCACGCAGATGTTACCAAACTTGTCTGCTCCAGCCACGGTGTCATAATCCAGGAGGGTTGCTGTGGTGACCCAGCGGGGATAGGTGTCATCGGCGAAGATGATGAGCTGGTTCTCGTTCCTTTTGTAACGCACCCAGATGAAACTCTCCTGAACGTCAGAAACAATCACCCTGTGCCCGATGGTTTGGATCCCGCAGATGTAGTTGGCAATGTGCTTTGGAGAGAGAAAGGACAAAACCTCAGCGTTTCAAACAGGGGAGCATAGTGAAAATTGATTTCCCCCTGTGAGCTACGGCTGACTCCCCATTTCCCATCATTCCCTCCAAAATTAACTCTCACTTCTGCCACACTACAGCCCCACTCTAAAAACACATTCACACAGTGCAACCCAACAGGTATCATGTGGCATTCCCAGCCTGCTCCCCATGAGTCATGTCCAGAGAACAAGCTCTGCTGGTGAGCTTATGACTGGAGAAGCCAGGGCATCCTGCAAGCAGGCAGCGCTTCTGTGTCCCATCACTACATGCTCAAGGAAGGCCCGAGCAGAAAAGCTTTCATTTCTCATGTGAGTCATGTTTTAGGGAAAAAAAACCCAAACAAAACCACACAACACAAAAAAAAACGTTCCCCTACGAGTTCCCAGTCTGCCTGTGAGCTTGCTGGAGTTCCTTTGTGCAGTAATGAGCTACTGGCACAGGTTCTGCAGTTTGCACGAGAGAGGGAAGAACTGGCAATTAAGAGCTAGAAAAACACAGTCTGCATTTTTTTTTTTTCCTCAAGTACCAGAGATGTTCAGCAGGACCAACTACTTCAAGGAGAAAACCCCCTTTTCAACACTCTAGGGATCTGACAAGGTGCTCTTATGCACCCTCCAACTTCTGTCCCCCCCTCTGTTGATCCCCCAATCTCAGGAAACATTTCCAGCAACTGTTTTGTATCTGGGTATAAGACCTCTCACATTTGCAGCAGGTGGCCAATTTACAGTCTGTATAGGCTCCTGCACACAGATGGACAAAAAGGAACCTGCAACACTGAATAGTGATGAGAAAAAAAGGTGTGCATGGGGGCAGAGAGGCAGCACAACAGCCCAGTCCAGTCCAGCACTACTCCAGACATACTTGGGCTGGAGCAGTATCTAAACCCCTGGTTTTGCTCCTGCTGCAAAGCATCCCTCGTTCCAGATGACATCTCTGGACAAGAAGAGAAGGCAGTACCTTATTCTCACATTTCCGAAGCAGTTTCTTCTTGCCGAGGTCGTACACACGCAAGAGCTTTCCAACTCCAATTAACACTCGGCCTTGGAACGGGGCAATGGCTGCAGGAACCTCCTCCACGGGGGTCTAGGGAGGGAAGTCAAACACTGTGAGCCCCTCATTAGCAGAGCTAACTTTACACCAAGCTTCAGAACAGATTCAGTTAATGGTATGGCTGAAGCTCACTAGCCTGTACCAAGGTTTTAAATGCAAAGGCTGATCTCAACCTTCTGCAGGAGGGGCAAGAGGTGAGTCCTCTGCAGCCTCCCAACAGCTGCCACACCCGCAGCTAACAGAGCCCTATGTGCTCCCAGACAGCACACTGCTGGCACTGCACCTTAACTGAAGTGCAGCACTGCTCTGAGAACCCCACACTGGGCAGGCAGCAAAAAAAAGATAAGGACTTTGTTGCCTCAGTTCTTAGTTTTGATTTATATCCAGCAAGAAGTCTTTAGACTTTGGGTAAATCCGCCCAGACTGTTGTTAAACAAAGGCATAAATCTAGTTCAGCCATCTGCCACAGACACCCTGATGCTGCCACCGAAGAAATCGTTACATCTGAACAACTACAGTGTGCCCACAATGCCTGAGACAGGGCTGAAAAATCTCCACTAATCAATCCAAAAGGATCGGTCCCAGCAGAAAAGGGGAACATGGAGAGAGCTTCCCGTTACAGAATTCATAGTTTGGCAGCACTGGCTAAGAGAAGTTTATTTCACAACATCAGCACTGTCAACTTCCCAGTGGCACCAGAGAAGGCCCCGGTCCAGGACAGAACCCACACACTGCATTAGTAGAAAATGAATAGGCCACAACATTCCTTTCCATGTGTTCATCTGCTCAAAGCTCAGCCATGCTCGAAGCACATGGGAGGGAGAAGAGTATTTTTTCTGCTGAAACCCTGGCTAAAGCCCCCGAGACCTGTCAAGCAAGCTGGTCACTAATCATTTCTACACACAACCAAACTGCTTCCAAGGAAAGACGACAGCTCACACCAGCTTCATGTGGTCAGCCAAGGACTGACAGTCTTAGCACCAGGGCTCAAGTGACCCAAGTATGAATGTGCTCTGTAAACAAGTGCTCAAGCTGCTCTCTGAGCTCATATTCTGAAAAGCAAACAGAGCCGTTTCCCTCCCCTCCCTAACAGGGGCATGAAAAACACTGCTCCTCTCCCATTTACCCAGTCAGATGGGTAAAAGATCTAGGCTCAGAGATCTGTGTTCAATCCTCAGCTCTGCAAAAGAGGTACCAAATGATTTTGTAGGAGGCAGCTTATTTTTGTCAAGGCTGCTTCCAGTGTGCAACATCAGCACGATGATCTTGCCCAGGATTCACCAAATACTGCAGCATTACCACAGCATTCAGTCAAGAAACAGCAACCCCAACAGCCTCACTGGAAACGAGCCCATCACCTCCCTCACCTTGTGCAGGAACTCCAGCTTCTCACCACTGTTCACCAGCTTGTACGTGTAGACAAACCCCCCGGCAACGGAGCGCGGGTTGAGGATCAGGTCCTTGGCGACTCCCACCAGCACGTACCACTCGTCCCCAGTATTGGAGAAGCGGCACACGGCCACGCTGGGAACGACAGGACACGCCAGGACATCAGTGGGAGCACAGCACTAACCTGGACTGGATCCCCTGACAGCACAACCTGCCCCTGCCCCAGCACACATTCGAGAGCCCAGCCTTTCAGCACTGATGTTTCCTGTTCAGAGGTCATTTCTCCTCCTTGTGGAAACGTTTGATGCAGATTCCACCATTCTTCCACACTCTCTCTATGTGTTCCAGCTGTCACATATGCCCAAAGCGGTTTATGTTTTCACAATGCCCAAAATGTTGCTTTCACAGGCCGGACACTGCACAGCGATGTGCAAAACTCCACTAGAAGCTGTTTTTCAAAGGCTGCTCCAATCTGGACAGGTACATATGACTTTCCTTATCTGCCAGTGTTATTTCCTGCCCAGTACACAGCTCAGCCAGGTTGGAAATCCTGGACAAAACAGGACAGAGTCAGCCTTTTGGAGCAGCATGACCCAACTCCACCTGTTGAGGCACTCGCCATTCTTTGCGGTTATTGTGTTGGTTTTCCCCTCCAGTCCTCCAACACTTCCTTTCATTTAATCCATCCTCAGTTTATCTGGATGAGAAGGGGAAGTGAGAGATAACAGCACATTCCCTTGTTCCCTGCTCTCTTATCTGTCATTTTCACCCCTGTGTTGTTCTTTAAGCACTGGGGTCCAGCAATGACTTTTGGAGCATGACCAGCTCTTAATGCCACACACAGACAAGACCAGGGTGGGAAGGGAAGGAAAGGCAAGACAAAAGCTTAAACCACGTGACAATCACTTCTGGAATTTCAAGCCAGTCTCTCAATAACATGCTGCATCTGGATTTCAGCTCAGCCAACAGGAAGCCAAAGGAAGAAAACACGTAAGACTCATCACAAGCAGAGATTCCTGCTGCATCCAGCAACACTTCTTACCTGAAGGCAGCTTCGTTCTGCTCCAGCTGGACCAGATCTAAGGTATTTCCCTGGATGGGGTTCATCACCCTGATAACAGAGGCCCACTGTCCATTCCCTGCCTTGGGAGCACCGAAGATGGACTCGGGGAGGTTCTCGTTGAGAAAGGCTGCAGCCATCTCAGCAGCCAGCTCCCTCTCATCCTCACCTGCAGCCTCCACCATTTCCTGTGGCACATCAAAGGACAGAACAAGAGAACAGCTCGGTGATTTCCTTTCCCAGCATGCTCTGTTAGAATACAGCCTCCCTGTTTCCCCTAAGCCCAGGTACTCCAGGGCAAGGTGCTGCCTGTGAAGACATAAAAGCCTTTAAGTCCCAAAGCTTCCACCCACCCTGAGTTTATCCCCCAGGGGGACTCTGCAGCTCAGAGCACAGCGGTGTCACCTCTGCCCTGCCCAAGGGGCAGTTGTCTGGGGAGCTGTTTCTCCACGTCAACAACTCTGGAAACAACTCTGAGAAGAAAATAAACAACCCACTGAAAGGCAAACCTCCTCAGCCATTAACAGAAAACCCAGAGAACAGTGTGACACAGGCATAACCATCATAACTATGTGGTTCTTACAGCCTGTCCTAACAACATGCAAAGGAAGGAGCACTGGGAAGTGGTGTATCCTGCTGAAATTTGTGTTTTGAGGCAGATCTCCACTTCCTTCAGCCCATGCATTCACACGGGGCACAAAACCTTTGCAGGCAACGGCAGCTGGGAAGTACTTGCAGCTGCAGAAGCCTCCTCCGGGGAACAGACGCACGTACCTGTCCCCCACCCCAATTACCTCAGCCATTTGCTGCTTCCTCTGTGCCTTGGTGGCCTCAGTGTAAGCATTGTGGTCTGTCTCAATGATGATCAGGTTGTTGCTCTCTGGGTGAATGACAAATTTTCGGGGTGTGTACTGCAACGGGAAGGCAACCTGGTTGAAGACTGCTCCCAGCTTCTCCAGGGCCAAAATCCTGGGGGACAAAGATGCGACACGTGTTGAACAGGGTCTAAAAACAGCTGTGCAAGAGAACAGAAGTGGAGTTGGAGCTCTTTCTGCTCGTGCTGGAGAGGAGCAGCAGCCTTCTCAGGCCACACAGCAACAAGCAAAACTTATCATCCTAAGTGGGAGCCCACGCTGTGGGACAGGGGGTGCTGCAGCACGACAGGAGGTCACAGACAGGAGGGCTCTCACTGTCCCAGGGTGTGTTCTGAAGGTGCTGAACCAAGTCTATCCCAGGAGGAACAAAGAGCACTTGGAAGAAGGGAAGTGCCCGCCTGGGGAACACATCTTCTGAATCCAAATGTGACACTGACTGTGACACGTAATCCAACGCTCCTCAGAGGCACTTTAGTTAAAAGAGTGCGAAAAACCCAATGCCAGCTCTTTCTTCCTGTGACTTGCCAGCTGAAATGCCAGTTCTTCTGGCATTTGGTGTCTAAAAACCACAAGTCTTTCCAGAAAGAATGACTCCTTTAAAAAGCAATGAATGCTGTAATATTTCAACGAGGACAGATATGAAAAAAGTGCCTGTTCAAGTGCATACAGCAGAGTTCCTGAATTTGTGGTCCATTATTTTCATTTATCTGTTTAGTATCTCAGCTGAACTTTTAAAAAGCAACAAATACATCCCTGTCATGCCTCTGGTTTCTTAAATCACGTGGTTTATTTTCTTCAAAGCAGCCAATTCAGATCACAAACCACAAGATCCTAATACACAATAGGTTCACATTTATTAAAAGCTTCCCTCTCTCCATGGATCAGAGAATTACAGGATAATTTGAATTCCACTTGTTACTTAAAAAAGCTAGAAAATACAAAACTGAGCAGCACAGTTTTTTGACAGCACAACTATCTTTGTATTGCCTGTTTTCCAAAACCCATTCAAGTGTTTCTGCCAAATCACTACCAATAATCAACTAATAATTATGGTCTTTCTGAGGTTAAAGTGAATCACTTTAGCTCTTCCTTCCGAACGTGGGGTGGAATTCACCACTGCTCTGCCTGCCCAGAGCTCCTGGTGTTTTGCCCATCAGTGTTTACCTCAGTGTGTTTGTGGAGATGGCCACGATGCCCTCCGGGCACTGCTCGGAAGCAAAACCAGATGCAAACTCCAGGGTCTCGTAGGACAGGGGGGTCAGGTGGAAGCGAGACTGGTAGGAATAACTCAGCCAGGAGCGGCTGGACATGGCCAGCACCTTGGGAAAGACAAGGCAGCAGATGGATTAGCTGGATTAGATGGACAGAGACAAGCTCACTCCACACAGTATGAATGGATGGACAGTGCCCAACTCTCACCCACCACAACAGCTGAACTCTGGTGGGTACAGCTCAGACTGTACCCTGCTTTCACGGGACAGTTTGATCTAGAAATTGCACATGGCACGAAGGGGAACTTTAAAGCACTATCAAAAAAAAAAATACTCAAAATGAGGTGCAATAACACTACCTATAAAAGCCAAGGTCAACAATACTGTCATACCTCTTTTTTTTTTTTTTTTTGAACAACAGCCTGTTCTAACGGGAACAGGTCTTTTAAAATAAGTATTTACTGCTCTGTCACAATTCAAATGCTGTAGCTGTCTTAATGAAATTTACTTAAAATAAACAGAAGCCTATTTTCAATCAAATTAAGGGAAACAAAGGAAGCAGATGGACTTCTAATCTCTCCATCTTTATACATTTCACTAAATCAATCTCAGTGCTACCTCACTTTCTGCCTGAGTGACAAGAGCTGGTCTCCAAGTAGAAGAGCACTCAGCTATTCTACAAGCATTCTCTGCTAGAGCTGCAAAGCTCCTCATCTCCGAGTTACAGCTGGCAGCAGCAAGTTGAAGAGATTCACCCAGTGTACCTTGACACTACAGCAGAGGTTAAATTCCCAGATCTGGTCCCCTATGCTGATCAGCAATATTTCTCAACTCTGAAGGTGTCATCCAAAAATGAGTCAAGCAGGGGGTGGCTGATTTCCCCAGTGCCACATCAGAAAGGCTGGAAATGGCACTTGTGATGAAATAACATTCTTCCTTCTATGCCAAATCATGCAAATATTTTCCTTGAACTGTGCATGGCAGCTGTCCAGCCCCTGGCTGAACCATCCAGTCCAGCCCCTGGCTGAACCATGAGACAACCATCCAGTGCATCAAGCATTCAAGGGTACGACTTCTGCACAGGGCTCTCTCTGACTCTCTGTGCACTAAGGAAGGCAAGATGAGGTTTTTCAGTGTCTTTAGGCCCAAGAACGTGCCCAAAGCTCTCCAGACATGCCATAAACACAGTCTGTGGGTAGGAAAGAGCCCAACTTTAGAGAAGGTAGGGCAGCACTACAGATGACTTTCTAAGCAGCAAGGGGAATACCAACAAGAACAAGACTGCTTGTGAAAGAGCGAGCTGCGAGCCAGGCAGCTCCGTAATGAAATCATTCTACTTCCCACCCTTACCCAGAGGGTCCTGCTGTGTCGCAAGGATGCTTCCCCACCCTGCCCACCCACCAGGAAAAGCAGGACCTGCACCCATGCAGGAGCTGCCTCTCCTCACTCACCGCCTCCTGGCCCTGCATTCGGACACGGAAGAGCTTGACGGGCCGTGAGCCGAGGTACCTGGTCCTGGTGTCGGAGAGGTCACCGGTGACAGGATCCAGGACAGTCCTCAGCAGCACACCGTTCTGGGCACCAGAGCACAAAGTCAGGGCAAGGTGCAGGTCAGAAATACCCAACCACAGCCATAACTCAGAACAGAGAGGCGGTTTCTGAGGAACTGGGTGTTTGTTTTCCTGGCTGTCGGCACAACTCTCTCCTACAGCCACGCTCTTAGCTGGCTCTTGATATCAAAAAAATGCACAGCCCTACAGGGCAGAAAGGAACTGCTGTAAAACAAACATACTCCCACCTCCCCCCACCCCTCCAAAATGAAAAACAGACCAAAAACTTTGGTACATCATATAAGCCATCAAAACCCGAGGGCCAATTCCAGACCCCAATCCCTCTTGGTACAAAGGATTTACCCAAAAACTTAATGCTACTTAAAAAGAGCTTGCATTCTGACATCAAACTTGAGGCACGCGAAAGAAGCTGGACGGTGCCGATTATTTTTACCACATGTCAAATTGTCAAAACAACATTTTTTGGTCAAAGATCACAGGGTCAGTACTGGATGTAATAAAAAACTGTGTAACAGCAGAGTTATTAATGCAGAGCCTCTGCTTGTGGGCAGTTACTTCTTTGATACTCTGCCCTACAGGCAGTTTCTAAGGAGTTGCTCAACATTTCACCCAGGAGTATTTTTTAGAACATGCCCTCTTTCTGGAAGGGGAAAAGCACAGTTCATCATCCTACATGAAATCTGGGACAATATGCTGCCTTTTGACTAGTCTTAAGTCTAGGAATGTGTGGGGAAACTTGCACCTCTACTATATAACAGTGAATGCCCCAGTCACGGCGGTTCAGCACTGAGGGAGGGCCAGGCTTTGTGCTGTGCCACACGATGACAAGGCCATTTTAACAATCCACCTTTTAAGTGAGCACTCCACAAGACATGCCTGTCAGAAGCAGGCAGGCACCTCTCACCTGCAGGCCGATGTTGAGGTACAGAAAGCCAATGGAGCCCCTCTCCCCCAGCTCGTCCTGCTTCTCCGTGCCGCCCATCTCCACGATGCACAGCGACTCAGGCTGCGCGGGCAGCGCCTGCATGCTCAGCGGCTGTAAACAATCCTGAGGGACACAGGGACCAGTCAGCATGGCCTGGCATGGCACCAAGGCATTCAAACTCCACCTAAGGAGCTTCAAGATGCCCTTTAAAATCTCCAGAAAGAAGTACCCAGCACGGAAGGAAGTCACGGTAGATGCTGGCTCTGCGGGTTTTGGTGAGCACGAGCGACAGCAGCCTGGGCTTTAGAGAAGATAAACTGGATCCTTCCAAACTGTTCTAGCACAGTTTGTAGCTATTTAGAATGGAGCGACCTGAGCAAAATTTAATTTACTGCAGCCATCCTCTGAACACACATCTGCTGCAGGCAGAAGAATGGTAAGGCTTGTTTGCCACCAACCTGCTTACAGAGTGAGTCTGCTTTGAGTACAGGGAGATGCAGGGTGAATCCCAACAAAAAAACCCACCCAGAACAGAAAGAGAAAGAAGAAAAGGCTTTTGTGACTCATCAGATGAGCCCTCCAGGCATGGATGACTCTAGATAAAACAAGGGTATCTGTTACAAGGAAGGATCAAGGGCCATGTTTTCTCCCAGCCATCAGAGAAAAGCCATGTAAGCTACTCATTCCTGGTCATCCACCTGAATCCGAAAGGACACTTTGGATGGACACAGCTCCCCTCTGGAGTGCCCTTCTGAACATTTCAAGCCAATGGAAGGCAGAAAACGGCACAGCTACTCACCGAAGGGTCAAGGGAGATAATTCTGACAGTGTTGTCCACCAACCCAACAGCAAGGAAGCGGGAGCGCTGCTCCCCGGGGGGAACGTTGGCCAGACTCATGCAAACGACGTCAGCCGACATCTCCTTTCTCTCTGTGTACTCATTCAGCTGTCCTGACTGAGAAAGAAACAGATGACTTGTTAATGAGACACTTTGTTTTTAATACGGCACTTTGGATTTGTCATATAAACAATGCGGCAATTTTAAAACTATTTCTTTACAGCCTTATTTCAGCTACGACTGGAAGAACCAGAAAAGCAAGAGTGCAAATACACAACTTTCAGCCTCAGTTATGAACTTCAGCCAGACATTAAATAATCTCAGAAAGACACAGTGTAGATATGCAGGACTTTGATCTATCCATCCCAGAAGGATGCTTCGCTACTGAATCCTTTTCTGCAGGTCTGATCAGGGATCCATCTCTGGCTCACTCTTCCCAACTCATTCACAACATTAACACACATACCGGGTCCATCTCAAAGTAAACCAGTTCTCCTCCAGTCAGTGCTATCACTACTTGTCTCTGGTTCACAGCACATTTCACAATGGTTTTCTTCCCTGGTGTCTTCCATTCATTTACTCTCTTATCTGCTCGGATGTGCCGGATCCCATCTGGATAGACCTGCAGGGATAAAAAAGGTCACATCAGTTCTACGTTTCCCATCCCTTCACAACTCCCATTTCACTGGTGGTTCTGACTGCTGCAAAAGCCAAAGGCAAGCACTGCTCCTAGCAGCAGTGATCCATCAGCTATTTACCAGGCTGAGCCAGCAGAAAGCCACTGGCCAGCTGGAAGCACTGCATCTTTCAACCACAGCAAGGAACTACTGAAGGAGATTAAGAACATCTTCAGCTTGTCCACTTGGACATAAAAAGGGAAAGGCTGAATAAGCATCATTCTCTGCCAATCCACACCTTTAGACAAAGGTTGCACTACTGCGGAAACCACGTCCGTGCAGCAAGCAGAGAGTGGCAGGCACAGGTAGGCATGTCAGAAGCAGCTTTCCATTACCTGCACCAAAGCATCATCACCAAGAAGAGAGCAGGACAAGGTGGGTGTGGTACCCAGGAATCCAGAGTCAGTCACTTCTTCTACAGTCTCTCCGATAGAGAGCACCAGGGTGGCGTTCACGAAGGACACGATGATGTAGGCATCGAATTCATCTGGTCAAGGGAGACAGGGGGAAAAAAAAGGGTGCTGATTAAATAAATGCAAGGCTTCCCAACGCAATCAAGCAGTCTGACACATGTCTAGCAGTTACTCTTCAGCAGAACTGCTGTGATAATTCCAGCTGCTGACAGTATTGCACAAGTTCGCTCTAGGACACGCTGTCCAAAAGCCAGGCACTGCCAGACTGCAAACAATGCAAGATCAAGCCAGGGGTCAAACCACGATCCAGATCCACTGTCAATTCACAATACTCTGCATTCTGGCAAGCAAGATTCCTGCCTACTTTTTTTTTCAAAGACTGCACAAAGTCTAGGAAGCCTTTAAGACACTTGTCCCACCTCACACAAGGAGGTGAATCCAGATTTAACACTCAACAGTCTACTCCAAAAATCTGAACATATGGAACCCATCTGCAGAAACCACACCACGGATGCTGCACACAGGAGGTTGCAGGACCACAATCTGTCTAGTAGCCACACAATAAAAGGCTGCAGAGAACAATTAGGGTGCACTGCAGCAGAGGAACTCAGGGTTAAGCCTGCTCTACCCTTCTCCAGAAGCTCAACTGGCTTACAGTCACACTGACATGGGTACACTCTCCTGGGATGAGAAACACTTCAATTTTTAAGACAGAGCAAACGCTGACCCTTCACTTCTACTGGGATAAGTGACAGTATTGCAACTATTATCCCCAGTGCTGGCTTCTCCCAAAGGGGACAGCCCAGAAGAGTCGTGTAGCTTGGATGTGGAGGGGCTATGCTAATCAAAATAATTTTAAAAGCTCATCTGGAAACAGAGAAACTTTGTGGGAAACAAGGGTAGTATGACTGGGTGAAGAGAATGGCCCAGTTTACTGCTGTCTGTTTTCATTCTGCAGAAAGCAACAGGTCTTAAGAAGGGAAGAGGAGTCTCATTAAAACAGAGTAACAAAGCAACAGAAACAATAAGTCTGTTGGGAAATGGAGCCAGAAGCCTTGGAAATAAGATTGCCTCAGAGAAGCAACTCTAATTCCGCTGCTGTTGTCATGCAAGTGCTATTTCTTAAAACGAAAATTCCTCATTTTAACCCAACTCAACCCAAAGCTCAGACCTGGGCACCACAGCACAGCTAGTGGAGGTGAGGGTGTAAGAGAGCTGTCAGAGTTTCTGGCCTTGAATGGAAATTCTCCATACCTTCCAAATGTGGGAGACATGGAAAAGTGGCTAATGACTCTAATAATAGAGAAATCTCACAGGATGCCAGTAAATACCATGCAGCAGCTTCAAGAACCCAAACTAGGTTAACCAAAACAAACGCTTCAGGAGCTGTTCTTATCCACCCTGTTTGGAGGGAAGCGTTGCCAAACCTGCTGTGTCACGTTTATAACAAAAAGTTCTTACATACAGCTGAAAATATGCAAGTGAAAAAAAAAAAAAAAAGGAAAAAATAAAAATCCACTTCTCTTCGACATCTGGTACACAGACCACAGCTCTGCTCAGACTGAGGAGCTCTGTGTAACCAAAGCAATTCCAACAGTGGCCTGTGGCATAAACTCCGTTACTGCTCTATTAAGTGGCCACAGCCTGTGACCTCCAACATGCCCTGACAGCCACAAACAGGAACAAGCCCACTTGGGGAAATGAGAAAACAAGAACTGAACCTGCACACAGAACCCGACCGGTAACGCCAACTACTTAAACACTTGGCTGGACAGGAGAATTCCTCCCACATTAACAGCTGATGGCCAGAGATCAGCAAGACTTGCAGTTAAACACAGGTTATTTTCTGCACTGAACAGCAGCTTCCCCTACAAACTTGCACGACTTTTTCAACACTAAAAGCCTACAGAAATTCCTCGATCGCTTTAAATGGAGATTGTGACAGTTCACAGGCTAAGCATTTGATTCATAAATATCACATAGACAGGATGTTCTAAGAATTCCATTTCAAAGACCACTGTTGCTTTCCAAATTTCTTGAGAGCTGCTGCCTTCCTCCCTGGGGGCTGTCAATTCTCATGATAAACCACTGTGTCCCAGCTGGAGGCTTAACCACGTGATTTGGAACAGGACAAAGAACTCCCATTCGAAGGCAAAACAGATTCCCTTCGTCCTACTCTAAATGAAAACTCATTCCTACCTCTTAATACTTTTATAGCTCTTCCTTTCCACTGCCTTACATTTGTATTAGGGCATGTCTTTAAGTCTGTGTCAGTAACGGTGACAAGTGCATTTTTGCTTGAAGTCTGTGTTGCTTAATGCCTCTCTGCTGGAGCTTTTGAAATACAGGGTTTGATTTACCAGAATTAAGTCTGTGAGTAAGACACATTCATCCAGATTCAAACAATACAATTTTGGTTTAGAAAATACAGCAGCCTAGCTGAAATTTAAGGGGACTAAATCCCTAGGGCACACTGAAGTGTTCTCAAAAAAAAAGAAATCTATAGATTTTAATATGAAAAGATATCTACTTAGCTCTGCTCAATCCCAAGCACAACATCAGGCTCCCCAGAGTTCTGAACAGATAGACATCATTTTGTCTGCAGACACAAGACTTCAGAGATGCTTATTACTGTTCTAATTGCTCCAGTTAGCTCCTTTCAGCAAAGTAACAGAGACATTTTAATGACTCTGAAGAGCCACAGCTGGACTCATTCTCCTACGCACTCATTACAAGTTTTCTGCAGCTTCATGCACACGTCACGACCAGTTATGAAAACATGACATTTCAGTCCCTGAACTCTACACTACTGTGCTTTTTGTTATTTGTCATGGATTCAGCTTGAGTTAGCCCAGCAGAATTCCATTCCTAGACGCAGTCCAGGCCCGATGCAGCTTTTTAATGCTCTGCGGCATCTGAATTTGCACTGATACGGTCACCAGTAGCTCGGAGGAGCTCAGTGAACAATCTGATGAGCAATGACAGAGCTCAGGATTACCCTCAGTTCAACAGACACCGAGGGGATGACAGCACATCCCATTTTCCTGGGCTTCTGTTTACTCCGGCACGGTGACTCGGCAGCGGTGACTCACTGCACCCGCTCTGCACGCAGGAGTGCCAGGCAGGGAACGCTGCCCGTCAGCTCCCATCAACCTCCACAGCACAGCACACCAGCCAGCTGGACCCACAGACCCCCACACTCAACTGCAAGGGAGGGTTTGGGGCAAATCCCATCCACTCCTGTCTGATGGGCATCCCATAACCACAGGGCATTCCCGTGCCAGTGATACCTACAGGTGCTTCAAGCACACCTGATCTTTTGCTCTCTGAGGTCAGTACAAAGCAGGTGGGAGCCAAACCTTCGTCTACAAGGGAGCTGAAAACACCCCTGAAACACACCCATCTGACGTCAGCAAGAACTGACTGCTCTACAGAGACACACTTTGATTATTTTGCTCCTCAAAGGCGGAATGGGATCTGCTTTCTGCTCCTCAGCTACTGAACTACAAAGGCAACGATCTCCAGCTACACCCCAGCTTCTGGAATTCATTTACTGAAAAGCTTAGCATGAACGCAGCCCCACAGCGTTCGGGGGTTGTCTGTGGTTAACCTGTGGGACAGTACAGTAGCCCCTAGCAGTGGGTACACACCTGTGATCAGCACCTCCACCACCAGCCACCTGTGGAAGAAAAAAAAAGGCTTGGTATTGGTAGTGAGTATCACCACGTACCAGCCATGGTTAGTATTTGCTCTGAAGGCTGCAGGGCTGGGTGTGTCTTACAGAGGCCTGGCAGCACATGTGGCACCAGGGGAGAGCTGGGCAACCCCCCTGCTGCAAACCCAGCACTCCAGGGCAGTGCCGAGATCAGACGCGAGTTTGAAAAGGCTCTGCACTCTGTCTGATCAAAACCCACTCCAGTGATTTCTGAATTCAAAGAGCTGGACCTCGAGGATGGGATTCCTGTAACTGTAAGTGGTATTCAGGGAGCAGCAAGGCCCAACACCTACAGGTTCCAGCCTTTCTGAAATCATGGAGATGATCGTGCTGAAACCTGGAAAATTTGGAAGGTGGAAAAAAGACGAGGCAATGAGACTTGTCTGTTTTGTCCATCTCCTGAAAAGTGGAAGTCAACCTCTGGAACCCCAAGAGAAGAGGTTTTAAAACCTAAGGTGATGTAAGAACCCTCCATCCCTCAGAGGGAGCAAATGTTACGCACACCTTTTCCAGAATGCTGGAGCAAAGGTTCCTCTTGACCAAACTGGAATGCCCCTTTGTAGAAAAGTGTGTATTTTTGATATGAAACGTGGAAATATTTTCCTTTTGACCCTTTTATCTCTGGGGAACAGGAAGGCACTTTATGCTCCGAGTTCCTCCCATGCTGCTTAGGCAATACACGAGTCTCAGGACATGAATGCATGGCAAGGTAAATCCCACAGCAATGATGGAAATTCCCACAGGGTTACAGATTCCCTGGAAGAAAGACTTTTCTGTTTAAATTTAAGATACCATGTCACCATAGCAGGTTAAGGTCTCTACTGCAACAAGCTGGCATTTTTAAGTTCAGTGCATAAACCTAGAGAAGTCTTTGTGAGATTTATACAAAGCACTGCTTAGGAAATAATCACCTGAACAGATACCCAGAACACATTCACTTCAAGCTTTTTAGGTGTTTCTTTGGAACCCTATTCTCACCCTCAAAAGAAAGGCAGGAGAAGGGACTACATTTCCTCTTGTTCTTTGGTAAGGCAAACCCACTATTTCAGATCAGGAAGAAAAAAAAAAAAAAAGAACAACCAACCCCCCAATCCAGTATATTCTGACAATGGGAAATCTTCACCTTCCTGGAATCAGCAGCATTCTACACACTGCTGGTTTCTTCACAGACATGCACAGAAAGAAGTAATAAAATACAGACATTGTTGCCGATTTATCTTCTTTGTTCCATAATTTGTATCCCCACTCTCTCACAAAGGGCTGATTGCTACAGTTGTCAACACGCACATGAAGAACAGGGAATGCGCTCCAGCAAAAAGTGTTGCCTGCTGATGTCTGAGCAAGAACTTATGGGAAGTGGGGAAGGATGAGAAGTTCAGAAGCTTCAGGCTGACACCACATATTGGGTGATGGATGCAGCTGCAGGTGGGCCCTTCTTTGTCAAAGGGAAGGGTGACAATTCTAGGGGACTGGAGGGTGGGTGGCTTCTAAATACAAGCAAGAGGCTAGTGACTCAAACCACAACTTTTGGGGATAGCACACAACCATCATGCAGCACCTTTCCTATCTCCTTGGACAGAAAAAGAAAAAAAAACAAAACCAAGAACAAACAAAACACACAAAAAACCATTATGACCTCCCTGTGCTTCAGGAAAACACTGCATTACCTTCAACATGTCTCCTGACAGTCCACACAGCATTGGGGTTACCAGGCAGCTCTGAGACAGCCATTTCAGAGACCTAAGAGTAAACAGGAAGAAGGTTCTTGTGCAAACAGATGTTTGGACTTTACTAGAGTAAGCAACCAAACCACCAGCGGTTTTCAAGCTTTCCCACAACGGGGCAGGGAAGCCAACAATTCCCAATTCTGACGCTCTCCCCCCCCGTGCCAGATGTGCTACAGGGCACAACTCATCCCGCAGTGCTGTGGCAGCACCAGAGCTCTGGATGATCAGCTATAACACGTGGTCACTCGCCTCCAGCAGAGACCAGCAGCAGCTGGAAGACACCAGGAATGTTCCAGCTCGATACAAATCAAGTATTAAAAGAGACAAAATGCAGGTTGCCAGAGTTAACCAAACAAAAAGCCTTTGAGACTGTAAGAATAAACAATACAACTCTTATTTCTCCAAGAAGAAAGCCTACAGAAAGTTGGTCTCCAGACTACAGCAAGAGGAGAATCCCCTCATTTCAGCACCTTTATTTGAAGGATTTTCCTCACACTGCCTTCACCTCTCAAGCTGTTCTTGTAAAGTGCTGGAAGTCTTACCTCAAGTCCGTGTCTTAAAACTCTCAGAGACGACCTGGGCCCCCGACCACAAGCCACGTACAACTGGGGTGTGTCTTCATTGGCCAAATCTGCTATCTGTGTGGAGAAAAAGTGTCAAACAACATCCACGGAATGGGAAAATTAAACTAAACTAGAGCAGCATTTCTGGAAGCCCAGGCTAACACAGTTTTGGTGACTCCATTCCCATTTGTCCACGGTAAATGGGAGCTTGCAGATGGCAGCGTACCTGACAGCACAGAATAGGAGACAAACTGTCCAACTCATCCACCAGCACCAGGTTCTTGAGAGGCCGTGGCTGGAAGAAGAACGTGTCTCCTTCCTCGAGAGGCATGGCAGAGGAAAACTCTGGCTCCTCATCATCGTCCCCCAGGTGAGCGATCTGGTACAGGTAACTGCAGACAGACAGCGTGTTCAGTGCAAAGCTCACGTAGCCTTCTCTGAGACACTCAGGCAGTGGGGAGGAAAGAAATCCAACCCCACGTCACACAGCTATTAAAATCTGGCTCTAAGGATTGTCTTCTTGGTGACAAAACATTTAAAGGGAATCAGAGGCCCACAACCTCCCCCCTCACCAAATCTCACCAACAAAAAAACACCCCCACAACCTCCCTGCTTCGCTCCTCCTCGTTTGTAGCTGTTGCTGGCAAGGTATCCCAGAGTTTCAGAGTTTTCTGTTTGCCTTTGTGCCTTTCAGATATTCTCATGTTAAAGCCAAAGCACCAACTGACAGCTGAGGCCAAAAGCAAGGCCAATAGCTACAACTGCAACTCCACAGTTATCTATTTTATTAGAATCATCTCACTTTACTGTTTTGAACCACAGTCCCTATTCCAATTTATAAGCCTAAAGAGCACAACAATCAAATTAAATTTCAGAGGGAAAAAAAAAAAAAAAAAAAGAAATAGAAACTGAGTTACTTCCTGATTTTCCTAAAGCTCGAATATGGCCTCCTCAGTTCAGATCCAATCCAGCAAACTGGCTGGGGCTCCCTCAGGTGGCTGACTGCAGATGCAGTCAGAAAAAAAAGGATTCAAATCTCCATTCCTGTCAAACCCCCACTTAAACCACCTTCAAAGACAGGCATAAGCCTTAAGAGTATTCTGGAAGCCCAAATATAAATTGGCTAAGCCTTCAAGTGGATATTTATTATGGAAATCTATCTATTAAGGAAATGAACACAGTTACTGATAAGAAACCCTTTCTGAGAGGGCCATAGCACACAAAAACTCAAAACTACCAAAACTAATTGAAAGGATAATTCATCTGGGTACGTGATGAACCCTAGATGAAGAGCCTACTGCAACAGCAAGTCATGTTTTATTCTCTGCACTACATCATCTAATAATCTGTGTCCAAACAACAAGAAAATTCCCCCATTCAGTCAGAGTCTAATCCAACTGTTCTTCTCAAGCTGTGTGAACAAAGCACTGATTCAGCCATTCAATCAGAGGTGCTGTGTAAGCACAGTTAAGCCCAAGGGTTGGTCTGCAGGCCTAGGCAGAACGAGTCTGCCTGGGGAAGAAAACACTGATGTCAAACTGTTTACTCACTGGTTTCCAAATTCAGACGCCACGAAGAGAAATCCCGTTTTCAGCACACACATGGCAGCAGCCACAGGAACAGTGTCAAAGTACTTCAGTCGAATCTCTGTCACCTGGAAGCAGATGAAGACTTTGTTAGCTGTGCTAACAAAGTACCACAGCTCCACACGGACTATTCTGCACATATAAGCCAGGCTGCCTCTTTTATTCTAGGACTGTTTCTGGCTTTTGTAAAACTGAGTCAGTTTGGAGAATTAAAGCTGCAAAAACAGAAAGCTGCCTAGAAGGTAAGAAATTTGCTTCACCAAATACCAGCCATTCTCCAACATGAGAAAAATAACTGTTCTGAGCAAATTTCTACATTTGACATGGTCTCAAAACCCACCTGTACCATGATGTGTAAAAATATCGATTGCACCATGTAAATATTCGATTAGGAGATCAGAGAGCACCTACTGCAATCAAGAGAAAATAAGTTCCCCAGAATTAGTTTCCTGAATACTCTCCAGCAGGTTCATGGACACCACTCCACATCTTTTAAACAAAGGACCACTGTCAGAACATCAAAAATATGCCCAAGTGACTGCAGTAAAATCCTCACAGGATTTTGTGAACCCTGTGCAGTGCCTCTGTATGACATACCCACAGCTGTGACTGGTGTTACCTGTATTACAAACCATGTAAAATATGTGCCATTACACAGATAAACCTACAATATTAAATATTTATCACTTCAGGGAATCAAAATAATTGACTAAGAACTCCTCTCAATGAATGCTTTTGCCACCACTCACATGATGCTTACCATGTCTTCATCAGTCTCCAGGGTAATTTTGAAGATGTCCCCCTGCTCTGTCTGGGCCAGGAAGAAGAACATGGACTTGGTCTTGTGTGTAGCAGAGCAGACAAAAATCATACCTCTCTCTGGGTCATCCAAGTCGTTCTGTCAAGAAAACAAGAGCGGAGGTCACTGCTGGAATTACCCAGCGAGCGTAGATGTGATTCCACTGACTGAAGTATTTCAGCCTGGCAGGTGTTCCAAGCACTGCCAAGGTGTGTAATTCCCCTCACCAAAGGGAAGAGGAAGCAGCAGGAGATGCAACAGAGCAGCTGTCGAATTCACCTGCGTCTACAACAGCCACCGACTCATCATCAGCCACCATCTCAAGGAATCCCACCCTGCACGGACAGCGCTGCCTGATCAGAGTCTCTGGAGTATCTCCAGGGTAAATCTCAGAGAAGAGACATGAACTGAGCTCATCACTTCAGGCTGTGCCTGCCTCTGTCCCCACTCCCAGATAACACGCAGCCAGGGAAGTATATGGTATCCCCACACACTTTTAATTCCCTTTTTCTTACTTTAAAACCTCCCTGATGCCCTTCTTAACCTCCAAAGGGAAATACCAAGCATCTTTAAAAATTCTCACCCTCCTCCTGGGAATTGGGCATCTGATGTCAGGCTGGTCGCCGAAGTTTTTGTAGGTAATGTAGTTTTCAGAACAGATCAGCACCCCACTAGGGCCATCAGAACCACCAGGAACTGGAAAACAAAAACAGTATCAGGAGAAGAGCCCTTACCACGGATCTGACTTACTGCCAGCAGAATATTTCTCTTGGTTTTCTTTAAAGCAATGTAGTTTCCAGTGCTCTCTATCACCCTACATATACCAATCTGCTCTTATTGAAAAGCAAGATAAAAGACTGATTTTAAAAATGCTCCTATTGAGGTTCCAGCCTAACAAAAGACATCAAAATAGCAGTAAAGGTCAGATCCAGCCCAATATTTGGGGTCTGACAGCTGCACACAGGACATTAAACAGGGCAATCATACAAGGATGCTCTCCCAGCTCAGTGTCTTCTGTGCTTGCAGAGGAACCTCCAGCAGCTTCCCAGGCTGAAAGTCTGAGGTTGGCTTTGCATCCAGGCCCTACAAGTGGGCTTTCAGTCCATGGATTCACCTACTGCCTCTAGCTGATGGAATCCCACGCAAGGGAGTACAACAGCATCTATGCACCACCTAAACAGAGGTGCTTTGGCACTGCTACCATTCCGTGTGTGAACCATCACTTATTACCTGACACCAAGGTCAGTTAGTTTACACCAGTGGCCCAGACTAGCATCAGAACAATTCCTAGGATGTAAAGCATATTGATTCTGTTTCCCTGAGGAATGGGAACCAAGCAGACCCAGGAGAAAATGACTCTGTGGGCAGTACCTGTTATGAGGAAGTTGCCGTGCTCCTCCAGGGGCTCACTGTATTTCCTAACGACGTGGTTCAAACCCAGGTCCAGCTCGTAAAATGTCAGCGTCTGTTGTGTGTTGGCTGCAGCTTCTCCTGTTGGATCATTGTCTGCTTCCTAAAACACAACACATGGAGGTGTCTTTCAAGGGAAGTATTAAAAGGAGGAGCAAAGTTGACGTGTGGGCAAAAAGTTTTGAGTAACAACAGAATGAAGACCAACAGAAGACTTGCTGGAAGATGCACAAAAAAAAAAGTTCAGAAGAAGAAAACAGGCACATCTGCAGTTGAATAGCAAGAATAAGAATTACGAAGACAGAAGAGTCTTGCCCATTCTGAGTGAAGGCAAAACAAAAAGCCAGTAAGCTTGTGACAAACAAAAACTGCCTCAGACAGCAAAAGCAGCCATTGTTCCCCACAGACAGATGAAGAACAGAACACGGAACAACAACGTCCAAAAGACAGCAAAGAGAGATCAAATTCTTCTCACCTCATAATCCATTTCCAGACATGCAAACATGGGGTTTTCAAACCCCACATCGACTCCCACCACGTGGTACACCAAAGTATTGGCCTTGTGGGCTTCCAGCGGGGAGGAAATGGTGAGACGAGCAGCAGCATCTCTGTTCAGGATGTACACCAGCTTCTGCTTCTCGATGGCACCTGCAAGGAAGGACAACAGCAACCTGACGGTCCAACCTGACCATACCTGCAGCCCAAAACTGAGATGCAGCTTGGCAGGAGAATGTCAGCGTTGATTCAGCTGAAGTTCACCACTGGGGTTTATCTCTGTGCCACCAACCAACCTCCAGTGCCTCCTTTTACATCTTCCAGACTGCAAGCGTAAATGACAACTCCAACCCTTCAAAGCCAAGGAGTGGCCCTTTCTTTGAGATACATTCACCCAGCCCAATATTCCCTATCCAATGACTACAGGTAGATCTACTCGCTCTTTCAGCACACACAGATTGCAGGGAAGCAAAAACAAATGGCAAGGAGCAGCCAGATGTTCCACTGCTTAAAGCCATTTGGCAAGACAGCTTTTCTTCAGAAATACTTTATCTAAGAAAATGCATTCTTGCCTGGCACACAGCACCCCCAACATAAACACCACTCAAATATCAACATGAATGGCACAACTGTGACTGTGCTACCTTCTCACACGGGACAACCAGACTTGTTAGAAAGCAAACTGTTATTTGTTGTTATTACCAATATGAAGAGGCACTGGTAAACCATCTCAGCGTGCAGGAAACCAGTGCTGCACAAAGCTGCCATCAGCAAACTGAGAAAGCTCCCTGCCAAGTCCCTAAAACACCTCGTGCTGCATCTCACCAAAAAAATACTTCCCCAAGTGTCCTTCTACCCATGAAGCCTGATCAGAAATGCACCTGGCTGTCTTCAGGACACAGCTCAGAGAAGAGACATGAACTCAGAACATCATTTCAGGCCATGGGAGCTGAGTGACCAGGCCGCAGCACCGGTGCCTGCAATCCCATCTTCTCTCCCACATTTCAGGGCTCTGTGCAGGGCCAACCACACTGGACTCTTTCCAACCGGCCTTGGCCCAGCGTCAGAATTCCCTTGTGCAGCTCCATCAGCACCGAGGAGCTACCGTGCACACCTCGACACATCTCACAGCCCAACAAACTGCCCCAGGAACACTCCCAATTACACCTGGCGGACACTTCCTCCAAAATAAATATCCACAGGACAGCAGGAGAGCAAAATCAGGGGGCACGCAAGCTGACAGAGCGACTTACTGATCATGACAGCGCGGCCCTTCGGGTCCACAGCCAGGTACTGGCCCGGCACAATCCTGCGGCAGCCGCTCTTGCCGAAGGTCTCCTGGTGGATCTTCTCGAAGACGTTCTTGGAGGGCTGGTACTCCAGGATGACGATGCGCCCCGAGTCACTGCCCACCACGATGTAGTCCTTGGTGCCCCCCGTCAGCCTGAAGGCCATGAGGGAGCGGATGACCCCGAACACCTCCACGGTCAGCAGCGTGTGGACCTTCCCCGTGTTGGGGTCGGGGCGCAGCAGCTCCAGGATCTTGCCCCGGGAAACGACGATTTCTTGCTGTTTGGTTCCTGAGGGACCCAAAGACACGAGGACGAGTCAGCAACAAAAGAGAACAACCTGCAGCTTTGGGAAGTATTACAAGGGAAAAGGGAGAACTTCATGGCTTCCAAACACCAGAGTTTTAGGATTACGATTGAGGGATTCAGGGCAACTTATTCACCTCATGAGGTACCACCATTGTTTGAACATCTCTTAACAGAGCAGAGAACTGGACAAAACGCTACATTAAATCTACAGATAAATCAAATCTATAATCAAACCAAACTTCCCTTGATCTTTCCAAAGGTTACCACAGCTCAAGTAGCACTCGAGAGCAGACGATAACTCAGCATCAATAAAAACCCACAGCCCATCTTTAGCACCAAACTGAATAAAACCATGAATATACCTGTACTACCCAAAAGAGCTCAAGCCAAAACGCGTGAGGGGAGGAGAAAATTACCCGAGAAATTGCCATGGATGGCAAAGCTGATGCCAGTGGCACGCTGCAGCGTCAGGTTGTACAGGAACATGTTGGCAACGGGTTCGCTTCAGCTACTGCAGCTTCACTGAACCTGCAACAGGGAGAACGAAATTATAAACTCTGCTGAACCAGAGGCTTTCACACACCACGGAGAAAACCGCTGGCCTCGTACAGCTGCACAGGAGCACAAGTGCCACAGTTATTTAGTGTTTATTAGTGCTGCAAAGCAAAAGGCTCTCCCAGAGTGCCCCGGCTGCCAAGGGGCAGATGAGCTCCTTACTGGCCAGAACTCCCAGTAATTACCGCTAATTACTCGTGGCTTTAGCTGCTCGGAAACCGAAAATAATTAGGGAATCCCTCCGGGAGTGTCGCGCGCCGTCACGGCTCTGTGACCCCGCCGCACCTCCCGCTGCCACTCCACGCGAGCCCACCCGCCGCAGCAGCCCGGGACCAGTCCCTCCCCGCGGGACGAAACCCCCGCAACCCCTGCACCACGGGGCCGCTGCAGCTGGCCCTGGATCTCCCCGCGACGCCGGGAGGCCCCTGGCCCGGCCCGGCCGCCCTCCCTCCCATCCTCCGGCCCAGGCCCCGGGGGGCCCGCGGCGCTCCCCCCGTCAAACCCCCGGCCCATCCCGCGGGCGGCGGCCGCGGGACGGCGCTCACCGTGCGGGCGGCGGCGGGTGGCGGCGGATGAGGGAGGATGAGGAGGGATGGCGGCGGATGCTGCTCCGGCCTAGGCGGGCGCGCCCGGGGCCGCCACCGCCATCAGCGCCGCGCCTGCGCGCTGCCCTCCCGCGCCTTCCTCACGGGGCTTTCCGCGCGCCCGGCGCTCGCCCTCACCGCAACCCCCCCCACCTCCGTGAAGGAGCGGGAGGCTGCCCGAACCGGCGCCTGAATGATTTGCGGCGCGACGGCGGCCGCTCCACGTACCAACATCCCCCACACCGCTCCCGCCCCCAAAAAAAACCCTCAGTCGCCTTGAAGCGCAGAACAAACACCAGGGGATCGTAACTCTCCGTGCTGTCGGGCGGAGCCGAGCGGCGCCAGCGCTCAGGCACCGCGGCTGACAGCCCCGGCGGGCCGCGTCACCGCGTCCCAAGATGGCGGCGGCGCTGAGGGGGGAGAGCGGCGGCCCCGCCGCCTCCGCGCTGTCCATGGAGCGCATCCAGGCGCTCACCGAGCTGGCCGACCTGGAGGCCGCCTACAGCCGGCTGTGTGAGGAGGAGGTGCGTGAGGCGGCGCGGGAGGGGCGGGGGCGGCGCCCCGAGGGTGTTCGCTGCTGCTGCCCGCTCCGTCCCGCCGCGGTGACAGCGAGAGCGGGGGTCTCCTGTCACGGCTCCCTTAGTTGTCTGGATCCTTTCCAGAGCTGTTTCATACCCCGGGACCCAGCGGGCGGACGGTATCGCCTCCACGGGTCTAGTGTTCCTGGATCGCGAGCAGCCTGAGGATTCCGGGGCTTTCGTGCATTGAAAACTCGGCCAGGGGAGGAGTTTGTGGGTTATCTGGCTTAAAAATCGTATTATGAGGTTTCCATAACCTATGTCTTAAACGGCAAAAAAAAAATAAAGATTTACAGGATGAAAATGAGAGCTCGGGAAGGATTTATTTGTCACATGAGTTCTGGGAAGCACTAATGCCTTTCTAGCTCCATGCCCTTGACTTGGACATAAGGGTCTGTGATAAATTGCTGGCCTGGGTAGAGCTGAAGTCACACAAGGTTTCCTTTTTTTTTTTCCCAGAAAGTTGTGCAGGAAGAGCTGGATGCCCTTCTGGAGCAGCAAAGCACCATAGGGAACAAGATGGTTGCTCTTCACCGCATGGGGTTAGTGCTGCCCACCCTCTCCCCTTCCTTCTTATCACGGCACGGCCTGAACGTTCCTTTCAGCGTGGTAGGGGAACACTCTCAGGAAACGTCAGGCTTTAAATCAGATTTGTGGCAGGGAACATCAGTTGAATCCTCATCCCCAGGGCCCCAGTCGTCTCAGCAGCACTGACAGAGGCGACTGCTGTGCTCTCACACAGACTGACCTGTTTTGGTGTAAGGCTGGGTGGGTTTTGAAGGTCTCACCCCAGAGGCTGCCAAGTTTCAGCACCACTGCTTGGATCAGATGCCCTGTGTCAGGCTGCCTCTTGGTGGTGAGCTTGTGCAGGCAGCCTGGAGAGTCATCCATGTGGAAAGTCATCCTCAGTGGCCTCGTGCCTGGTAGAAGCTCAGAGCACAATTTTACAGCCCTCATCTTTCACTTCAGAAGTGGAGATGGTCAAAAAGACACAGTGGCTCGTCCATGCACTGTCTGGTAGCAAGACAGTCAGTCTGTCCCATCCTGCTGCTTTGCCCCTGGGGGAAAGGCGTGGATGAGGGGCAGTGCGATGGCAGGAGCAGTGGTGTCTGCAGGAAGAACCATCCCCCTGCCCAGTGCTCGCACCTCACGTTCAGTTGCCCTGTGTTCCCAGCCCCAACCTGCAGCTGATCGAGGGGGATGCCCAGCAGCTGGCAGGAATGATCACCTTCACCTGTAACCTGGCTGAGAACGTCAGCAGCAAGGTCCGACAGCTCGACCTTGCCAAGGTAACTGGGCTGGGGGGGAGTTTGGGGCTGGTCACCACCAGACCGTGTTCTGTGTGCTCACAGCACAGCAGAGATGTGCTCCTTTCTCTGCTGGGCAGGAAGCTGCCTTGTTTTTTGTTTCAGCAGGATCTTTCCAAGATCTTGGATATTTTACGGTATAAGAGTAAATATTATAGAATCCCAGAATGGTTTGGGTTGGAAGGATCTTAGAGCCCATCATGTTCCAACCACCCCTACCATGGGCAGTGACACCTTTCACTAGACCTGGTTGCTCAGAGCCCCATCCAGCCTGGCCTGGAACACTTCCAGGGATGCTGCCCCTGCATCCTCTTCTGTCCCTGCAGCTCCTGGCACAGTATCCTGAGTAAGGTGAGGGTGGCCTTCAGTGACACCCTTGTCAAGCACCAAGGACAGCAGAGGTGGTCATTGTCACCCAGCCTGGTCAGGAAGCTGGGCTGTTCTCCTCCTTGTCTGGAGACAGGCTGAGAGGTGTCGATCCCAGTGTTCAGCACAACTGCACAGATCAAACCAGACAACTCCTGGTTGTCTCTTTGGTCTCTGCCTGTTTGTTCTAGTGGAGCTGAGCTCAGCCTCAGTTTAGGCAAATGCTGTTCCTCTTGTAGAGCTGTTGGTTTTATGACATTTTAAGTAGTGTGGTGTTTCTGCTCACGTGGTTGTTTATTGTGTAGAGGAGTATTGCTTCAGTCTTCTCCTTTTTTCCCCCCCATGCTGTCTTCTCCTCACACTTCCCTCTCCCTGGCCCATCCCTCAGCAGGAAGCTTTACTGGGTGCCTTTCTTACAGAACCGCCTCTACCAGGCCATTCAGAGAGCTGATGACATCCTTGACCTGAAGTTCTGCATGGATGGAGTTCAGACAGCCCTGAGAAATGAAGACTATGAACAAGCAGCAGCTCACATCCATCGCTATCTGTCTCTGGACAAGTCAGTGATTGAGCTCAGTCGTCAGGGCAAGGAAGGTGAGCTCTGCTCATCAGGAGAAGCTGATAAGTCACCTTTCCAGTAGTACATGACTCGAGACTGCATCATTTCCCATGGCAGGTAGCCTCAACCCAATAGACAAAGTAGAAGATCTAATTCTGGCCCAAGTTCTTTGCGTGTTATAGATTAACTTAGAGGTGAGGTGTTATTAAGTTGGAATTAACATCAATTGAAAGAAGAGTTCCTGGCACTCAGCTTTAATAGTGCTTTCAGGTGCTAAGTAAGCAAAGGACAAAATGTTCAGTTCAAAAGAAGTGAGGGAGAAGGCTCTGCCAGGGAGAACTGAGCAGCTGGAAATCAAAGAGTAAATTGCCAGATCCTTAAGAGGAATGGATGTGTTCTCATCTTCCATGCAAGAACCACAACATTAGCTGTGTGTACATCACACACCCACCTGTCTTTCTTCACCTGTAGAAAAATTCCAGTGTGTCTTCTGCCTTCTCCACCTAGGGCTGCACAGTGTTGGTCTCTCTCCTGGGAAAAAAAAGTAGCCCTTGATAACAGCTAACTAACATTGTGCTGTCGCTTTTCCCTTTCTTTTCTGCCCTTTTGACCAGGAGGCATCATTGATGCCAACCTGAAGCTCCTGCAGGAAGCAGAGCAGCGCCTGAAGACAATTGTCACAGAGAAATTCGACACAGCCATGAAGCAGGGAGACCTGCCCCAGGTGGAACGGTTCTTCAAGATCTTCCCCCTGCTGGGCTTACATGAAGAGGGGCTGAGCAAGTTCTCTGAGTACCTCTGCAAGCAGGTAACAGGGTCTGTGAAACTGCTGTGGCCTGTCTGGTCAGCCAGGGGAAAGCAAAACCCAGTCTCTGTCAGTGGATATTGTGGAAAGAGATTTTGGCTTGTTAATCTTGGAAACCAGCACTGGCCTCAGTTCATCTCTCTCCCTGCATTTTGTGTCCTGGGATGGGCTTTCTGGTGTCTGAGTACAGATCCTGGGGGCTGTCCAGCTTCTCCTTCTGTGTCTTGCTCTCTGCACTTGCTTAAAGATCATGCAATGAGCGCGGAAAGAGAAGAACAAATTTCTGTCTTTCCTTGATCCTTGAGTTTTCCACAAAAGAGGACAGGCTCCCTGTTCAAAGGAGGAACAACAGCAATAGCTCTTGCAGTGGGAAGGCCAGTGAAAGCTCTATAGGACAAGGACAGGAGACCACCCTGTGGGATGAAGAACAGCTTTGGGTGTTCACTGACTGGTCCTGTTGCCCTGCAGGTGGCCAACAAAGCAGAAGAGAACCTGCAGCTGGTGATGGGGACAGACTTGAGCGACCGTCGAGCTGCTGTCATCTTTGCAGACACCCTGACACTCCTCTTCGAAGGTAATCTTCCTTCCCTGATGAGATTGTCCATGAATTTAAATGTTTTTTTTTTTATTTTGGCTCACAAAATGCCTCATTCCTCATTGAGCTACAGAAGTGTCACCCTCAAGGGACAGGGACACCACCCACAGAATTTATTCCAGCCAGGAGAGGGCATCACAATAAGCAAATTTTCCTACCTACAGCTTGCGCAGGCACAAAGTGGATTTGCAAAGGAGCTGTTGGGTTCTTCCAGGAATCAGACTCTTTCCCGTTCTCTGCATCCTCAAAACGTGTGGGTATTCCCTGGAGGTTTCCTCAGGCTTCCAGCTCTCCAGACAAACAAATCAGATCCCTTAAGGCTGAGCAGCTGTTGGTGCCTCCAGGCCTGGCTCTTCAAGAAGCAGCATGGGAGCCTGAAAGCAGAGAGGGAAGGGAGAGAAGGGAATATGAATGCTCTGTGGGAATGTAGCCAAAGACAGTAATTGAGATTCTGTGATGATTAACCATCTTCTCTATGAAGTCTGCTCTAATTCCAGGCTGCACCACTGCCAAGTCATTCTCCCAGCCTGGCACCCTTGGAGTTTTCTTGGCAGTAGCATTAAAAGAGGGGGAGTGTTGCTAAGTCTTGGAGTAGAAGGTTTGTGAGAAGAAAGCAATATTGTAGAGAGACCTCCTTGGAGATGAGCTTTCCCTCTGAGGAGTTCTTGCCTTTACCAATGCTTGCTCTCTGCGTGCCCAAGAGCTGTGCCTGGGCTGATCTTTCCCAGCACTGCTCTCCTGTGACTTGGCAGGTGCTGAAAGCTCCCACTGCCTTTGGGTGGCAGTCATACCCTCTGTGGGGTTTAGCTTCTGTGGTTTCCTCCTAGGGGAGCTTCCTACCTTGTTTCTGGGAGGGCAGCTGGCACACTGGCAT